GCTGCAGGGCTGCAGGTGGGTGGGCTCAGCCCCGGCCCCAGCTCACCGTGCACCGCGGTCGCAGCTCCCTCTGCAGAGCCAGGGCGTGGGTGGCTCTGGGCTCAGCCTCACGGGGTAATTACGTGGGTTTCCCTCTCCAACCTCCTCGCCTCCATCTGAGTCCCCAGAGGACTCCTTGATGGCTTACCTGTAACAGGGAGCCGACATTAGGAAAACAGAGGCAGCGGAGGATCGCAGGCTGCGGGTGCTATGGCAACAAACAGGGGAAATTACCCTTTGATTGACGGGTAGAATAGACCTGGCGCGATCTGCTCGCAGGGAAATTAGTGAAAGAACAAAAGTAAAAGTTGGTCCGCTGAGGGTTACTGACAACGAAGATAAAACATATTTTCAGAATTCTACGTAAATTCTGCATCCCATTTTTCAGCTGTGACAAGAGCGAGGTTCTGTTTCTGCCTCTCGGGAAAACACCGTGGGCCGCTGCGGTTCCCCCCGCGACGGGCAGGGTGAGCGCGCGGGACGGCGCCCCCTCGCGGCCGCGCCGCGCCGCTGCACCGCCGCCGAGACCCTCGGAATCCCGCGGGAGATAACAGATGGGCGTGGGGATCTCACCACAGGGGAGTTTCCCAGGGTCTCCTGCCTTAAAGTTCACGTTTGAGAGAGTTTCCAAGAGAGAAAGACCAAACGGTCCCCAAATCCCATTCAAAGTGACCAGCGAGCTGAGCAGGATTTTAAGAGAACATATTTTTCTCATTAAAGGAGGATTTGGGCAGGAAAAAAAAATCTGCTTCCCAGAGACTTTCAAAATAGTCACCCATACTATGTTCCATTTCTGAATTTTCCCTAGTGTGTTTCTATGTTTAATTGCTTTTTAAACTACAATTTTTTTTCTAAAAAAAAAAAAGAAAAAAAGAAATGCCACTTTAGTTACAGGATTATTTGATCCTAGAAAAAATTTATCAAAGTTTGGGCCAAAGAAGAAATGTGAAGAGAGATGCTATGTCTAGAATAAAATTTTTAAAATAAGAGAATAAGTTATAAAAATAAATGAAATTTAGTAACTTTATATGATTGCGATATC